ACTCCTGGGTTAAATTCTCGGTACCAAGCAGGAAAAGAAAGTATGCTAGGAAAAGAAAGGAGTAATAAATCTTCCATATAATTATGGAGGGAAAAATCCCATTTCAAAGTCAATTATTAATGACTTCAGGATCATCTGCTATTTATTTTCCTGACCTATAAAAATGATATCATAATCTTAATGCTGAACAATGTACCTAAAGTTAAAAAAAGAAATTAAACAATGAATTATTCAACAACTTTTCCAAAAACTGCAAACAGGTAAATAAATCCAACATGTTAGTGTTAGTTTACTACTAAGAAAAAAGAAATAAGATCTAAAAGCCCCACTTACCCTCCACACATAGAAATCTACCTAAAGACTGTCTTTAATGCCCACTATATAAATAACGTTAAATAGTCTAAGTTATAAAATAAAGTTAATGGTTTTATTGGTAAAAATCCAAACTCTAAATTAGTAGTTTGTTTGATATATTAACACACCATCTTAATTTTTGCTAATATTACAAAGAAAGAGGAAAGCTAGAAATATCTATAAAAATAAAATACCTTAAACCAACATTGAAGCAAAATGTAAAGGTTGCACAAATTGCCAATAAATATAATCATCACAATAGAAAAATTAATCTTAAAAAAATAAACTCATAATTGCTATTAAGACATTATAAAAATGAAAAAGTTTAATGTGCATGTATATTTGCAAAGACACAATACACTCCAAATGGTCAGTGTTATTTTACTGTCATTACATAATGCAGCATATAAAGTTACTGAGGTGTGTATTTATATTTATTTTTAGTCTGCTTATTTTATGGAGGAATGCTCACCAAATTCACCAGAACTTGTTAAGTAATCATTTACTGCTGTTTACTGCTTCTTAATACAGGGAAAAATTGGTTTGTTAGATTACCAGATTTCTAGTAAGTATAAATGGTCCTTCTATCTTCCTTTCTTTTGCTTATCTCCTCCAAAGCCCCAATTTGCACATGTGTGAATACACATACAGTGTGTGTGTGTGTGTGTGTGTGTGTGTATTTTTTTCCTTTTTTCTTTTTACAGTGCCCAGGGGAATGTACCCAGGGACTCAAGCATACTCAATATGCATTCTACAAATGAGTTCTACCACTGATCTATATCCCCAGTCCCATGTTCTATTTTTAAATAACTTATCATCATGTCCTTTTAAATGTACTGTAGTCATTTTTCATGGTTCCCCCACCTTAGGTGCAGTGGGGTGGAGAGAAAGAATTTTTAGTGCAGAGCTGGGATGTAGCTCAGTGGCAAAGCACTTGCCTAGCATGTTCAAGGTCCTGAGTTCAATCCCCAGTACCACAAACAAACCAACAACAACAACAACAACAACAACAAACCCCCAAAACCCCACATACACAAAAAAAACCCTACAAAAAACAAAAACAACAAAAACAAAACAAAAAACCCAAACCAAAACAAAGCCAAAAAACAAAACAAACACCTACTTCAGTGTCAAAAAAAAAAAAAAAAAAAAGAAAAAAGAAAATTTCCCTAGAGACATAATCATTTTGCTTGCTTTCTTAAACTGATCTCAATGATGACTTAGCTCTCCCTGTATAAGCATTCTTCCTTAATAATGATAATTAGAAAAGGTTACAGCCAGCAATCTATGCTGAAAAAAATGGAAAGGTAGCCTATGACATATAATTCCTGGCAGGGTTCTTTTCCTTAGGATACTTGCTACAATACTCATCGTCTTGGTAAGAAGTTAAGTAGATTTGCTGTTTTATATGCATTATAGGTTACCTTAAACACAGGTGAGAATTAAAAGGGTTAATCTGTTAAAATTTTTATTTTCAAATTTACATGATAAATTTGGTGAGCATTTACCTAGATATTTTACTGCATAATAGTATTCCTTGTTCCCCTGACCAGATTTAGGACAATGAATAACATTATTTATATGAAACTGTCATACTCTTGAAGTTCTAAAATAATTTGTCTTCCAAATTTTTAGTGTCATGAGAACTGAAAAATAAAATTCTACAGCACCATCTTCTGAAAAGGCACTTTCTAAGAACCGCCTTGTTTTAAAAAATGATTTAAAAATTCAATTCAAAGTCTACTGAAGAATATCTTTGCTTTACTGAGAATATAACACAGCTACATTAGATTTTGGTTACCTCAGACATTGGTTTCAAAAAGGAAGGGAGCCCAATGATTGGACAGATGATTTGAGAAGACCCTAAATTTGTCATATTTGTTACCTAATACTTCAGTAGGGTTTGTCATGGGTAAATTTCAACCCTCCATATTAAATTTATTATTTTTCTATCTTTAATTCAAATAAAAATTGTTAACAAAAAGATCTTGGAGATTTAATCAACAGTGTAAAAATTTAGAGCACTGTTTTTGATGGGTAAAGGAAAAATTTTTAAGCTAGCAGCAGATAATAGTAGAATAAGCCTTGACTATTAAAAATGAAATACTGTAAATTATAAATTTAAATGTACCATTTTTAAAAGTAGGAAAAAAGTAAAAAATATTTTTCCCTTTGTGAGATCTATCTCTTTCACTCTCCCCAGCCCTATCCCCCTTCTGGGACTTAACTTGTCATTCATTAATCACAGTACCATTTCTAATATTGTCACTGAACAAGAATGTTCCCAGTATAAACAGAAATTTAAAAAATCCCCTTTAATTTTTTTTTGGAAAATTATGTGAATTCTGTAATGATTTTTACAATCTATGCTTGGCCTATTTTTTGATTTCTATAGCCCACAAAGGCGCTTTATAAGATCAAATGAGAGGGAAATAGCAAAACAAAGACACACCCTAAATCAGGGTGATACAACCTCACTTGATATAAAGTCCCCCAACTATTACTATTGAAGCTTTAATATATCCACAAATTCTCAAAAAGAACTAACAATCTGTATGGATAAAAAAGCTGAAATAGCATGGTGGTGCACCCCTGTAATCCCAGCAGCTCGGGAGGCTGAGACAGGAGGATCAAAAGTTCAAAGGCAACCTCAGCAATGGTGAGGCGCTAAGTAAGCAACTCAGTGAGACCCTGTCTCTAAATAAAATACAAAATAGGGCTGGGGATGTGGCTCAGTGGTCAAGTGCCCCTGAGTTTAATCCCCAGTACTCCCTCCCCCGTGAAAAAAAAAAAAAAGCTGAAATAAAGATGCTGGACTAATGATTTCTTTTTGCAGCTTGATGAGCTCATATAATTTAAGTGGCAAGGTACTGTTAAGGGCAGTCTTTTCTTTCTTCAATAGGAGAAAATCTAAGAGGATGATTTAGGTAAACATTTAACTCAGATTTAATGACACAATGAAAATTATGCAGAGTTGTCAGTTATATTATCAAGTTTCCGATAGGAAGACTATAAAATGTTCTAGCCATGTCCAAACGGCTATTGAATTTCATAAAAATCACTGCTCTCCACAAAGTCATGAGCCTCTGAAAAGATCCACCCATTTCTTGATGTCTATTCTGGAATTCAGATTTACTATTGGCACAGAGTGCTTGCTCACTTTCTCTGATGCTGGGATCCTCTGCCAGCCCTTTCTACAAAGTAGCAGCTCAGCTTTTATTTCCCTAAGCATATGATAAGTCTTGTCATGATTCCCAATCAGTCATGTCTGTCATCCTGAAATCCATCAGAGAAGATACAAGTCAACATTAGGTCACAGTGGATCACAAAGGATCTAGTTTGGAAAACTTCCATTGGTCTAGAAGACTGGATAGAGATGAATCTTTGTTGAGGGGCCTTCCCAAACACCCAGTCCATGCCCACTAGAATCCATTCTACACTCTCTTCTAAGCAGAGAAATAAATTAATAGGTTATAAATAAGAATATTTTCATGGAACTTGTAATATAGTTTTTCTAAGAAACTTATTAAAAGGTAACTATTAAAAAGGGCATCTGTATTTCTGTGAAAATGTGCCAAAAACCAGTACTGAGGAGGCGGAGGTACCCTTTTTCAAAGTATAAAAGTAAAAATCTATGTGTCTAAAACAGGGATATTCTAATAATAAATTGAAACTAAAATGGCAGCACCCTGTGTTACCTTGATATCTCATGTCCTCAAATCGTAGAAAAACAACAAAAAGGGTCTAATAGTAGCCTTGAATCCTGCTCATCTCCTTATTGTTTAGTGCAGTAAATGTTGACTGGAATAAATATAGCAGCTACAGTATTATAAATGTGTGGTCCTCAATGCCAGTAATGTGATACTGTAATATAATAACATACATAGGGCACTTTACATAGACAACTTTACCATCAAGAATATATATTAAATTTCTAATTATTCTGTTTTTTGTTTGTGGTGCTGGGATTGAGCCTAGGGCCTTGCACATGCTTAGCAAGTACTGTACCACTGAGCTATACACTCAGTCCAAACTCATAATTCTTCACATAAAATCATTATATCAGTTTCCGTGACTGACATTTTAAAGTCACTCTCATGAGATACAACACAGAAAACAGCAGATCAAAATTTAGCATTCATCATATAGTTAAAGAATAAGTGCAAGGGTAGAAACGTCATTGTGAGTTTCATGTTTTTTTTTTTGTTGTTTTTTTTAAACAGAAAAGATTAGGAATTCTATCCAGAGTGCAAAAATAACTAGAACAATTTTCAAGAGGTGACTGCCACTTAGTCTTATATCTTAAAATTCAAAGCACAGGTTTCTTATAATTAAGTTTGGTATACCAACTTATTAGTAAGCAAAATAGAAATTTACTAGACATATTCTTCCAAGTTAAGAATCTTAAACCAGCAATGCTGAATAATTTAAGAGCACTCTAAAATAGAAATCACTCAAAAGGTAAAACTTTATATTTTAGAAAAAATATTTCTCCTCTTAAAAAAGTCCTTCCAAATAGATTTAAATTAAGGGCTTCACTTTAGCCAATGTGAGCCTAAGTGACTGAAAATTAGGTAAAGTAGTAAACAGGGACATGGTATCCACAGTTGCTCCCTAAAGTCTCTCACATGAATATGTACAGATGCCACAGACAAAGGAAGATGGTTTTATTTATATTAAGCAAGCATAAACCAAGTTTTTACATTTAGGATATACTATTTTCTTTTCTTTCCTATGTTCTTGACTATATTCATGAAACTTCAATATAAAAAAACAGCCAGGTGTGGTGCATACCTGTAGTCCCAGCTACTGGGAAGGCTCAGGTGGGAGGATTACGTGAGCCTCTGAGTTTGAAACCAGTCTGGGCCACACAGTGAGACCCTGTCTCAAGAAACAAACCAAGACAAAACAAAAATTAAACAAACAAAAAACCCAAACACGTTTTAAAAGAATTTTTGGGGAGAAGATGAGAGAAGGCTTGAAGAAACAAAATATATATACTATACAAATATTATCTTATGTAAAGTGCTTTGAAACAGTGTTGTAAATTGCATTTCAGATACTTCAAAATAATAATCATACAAAATACAGTACTTTTTTAGTTTTCTGGCAAAGGGACAAAAGACTTCATACCTGTTGGAGGACATGGGCTCAGATTTTAGGCTCAAAATACAGTAAATAGGCAATAATAGTGGATTACAGGTGTGAGAAAAACTAAAGGTCTAAATCCATTAGTTTTCATGTGCAGATGGAATTCTGAAAGGCTAACACCAATGCCCACTGGAAACGATCTGTAATACCTATACTTTGAACCAGTGTTAAAAAACAAAACAAAACAAAAAACCCTCAAATGCAATTTTTATGAGTTACAAAGTGCAAAGCTCCCCTGACTCCAATGGTACTGATAAACTTGGTTTTGAAAGATTAATAGTACTTTTTAAGTATTTTAAAGTGAAATCAATAAAACAAAAGTTCCGTAAAAAGTTTTCCTCACATTTCAGTATTTTAACTCATTTAAAATGATCAATGTCTTAAATTCCTTTGTCACCATCACCTTAATTTTGAAAAGAAAGTTACATTAGTGATAAATCAGCAGAAAAATCTTTTAAAAATACCATTCTGTATTCTGTATATTCCTGATTAATTTTAGTAAATAAAATGGGTATTTTGCCCATATGATTCTTCAACAAACATGATCTATTTTCAAATAATTTAAAAATCTTTTAAATCTTAAGCTCTTCACTAAATCAAAGTTCAACTTTATTTCTGATATTCAAGGTCAGACTCATTTAAATAATTTTACTTCCTTCGTTTTCATTATAAATTTTAAAAGACATGCATTAAAATTGAAAATTACGAAACTTTCCTTCTGCAATTAAGGCTGGATTACTTTGCCCTTTTAAAATAATGGAGGTGCCTGTTTTTCCTACTATCCATTGTAAAGATGTCAAACAGACACAACTGTCCTTTAAAACTGCTTATTGCACTAAAAATAGCAAAAACATGTTGTCGGTTCTTAAAATAAGCATGATTATATTTCTATAAAAGATGTTGCCAATACAGTTCTATAATTATTAAAGCACTATTCTAATAAATATAAAAGAAAAGGAAGCTGTACTTCAAAACACATACATATATGTTTATATATACACACATACATATATATAAAAATATATATATATGAAAATCACATTAAGGTATGAGAGGCAGCAAGTAAACTAGCAAAAAACAAAATGCACCCCTCCACAACAATCCCTTCTCTCTCTCTTTCTCTCTCTGTCCCCCCACACACACAATTTCAGAGGCCTCAACCCTACAGAGTTCCAATCTTTCAAAATATTTACCATTTATAAAAGATTTAAGGGATTTTCATGTGTAACTCATAGAAACAGAAGGTTTTAGAATTACATAACGCTTATCAGAGAGAAAAAGTGACAACTTCTGACAAGGTTTTATATTTATAGCAGCTTCAACAAACTCACTAAAGAAAAGGAATCATTTGGGTTGCTACTGCTTATGTACACATTGCACAAATGGCAAATATAAGTTCAGAGCAGGAGGGAGAGACACACGCTCATACAAAACGCAGTATCAAGAGTTGAGGACTCAGAACTGTGTATGAGATAGAAGACAGGTATAAGGTGTGCAAAATAAAATAGAAATCTATAGTTTGCCATGCTTCACATTCAAATGAATCATACATGTGAACATCTGAATGTCACTGATAGCATTAATGAAAAAAATGTAGACGAAGGCAAGGAAGGTAGAGAGGAAAATAAAGGTGGTAGTGAGGGGAGAATAAAAGGGAAAGAAAGCTCCCCATTGGAATGAACTACAAAATATATACACAGACACATATATATCTATTATCTAGATTCAGATATATATGCATATGAAGTATACATGTATATATTTTAAAAATACACAGACTCCTTTTACAAGAATATATGAACACACATTAATTTTTTTGCACACATAGTTGTGAACAATCACTTTGATTATTCGTATAGGTATGTGTTTTTAAACCATCATTTACTTTTTCTTTACTTTTTTTTTGCAAAGATAGTTGTGCTGCCAAGCAACTTGAGGTAAAGGCATTAAAAGGGTTAGACTATAAGAAGTGAAAACAAAACAACTGCGATACTTCCTACAGGAGACCGCACAAAAAGCAGCTGGCTGGTTTTATATTGCATAATGGTGCTGCGTTCCTCGATGAAGTAAACAATTTCCTTCTATCAACATAAGAAGCAGACATCCACACAGCACTGGCTTCTGTATGGTTGGAGGTGTCCCTACTCAATCAACTCACTCAAAACATACGTTGTGTCGACGCATCTTTCAGTTCTTCCTTGGACTTAAGCAAAGTACATTGTGCGTAAGGTATCTTGGTGAATCTGTACAGCCTTGGCAAGAGCTTGTGGATCTCGCCCATTGCTCTGTCCTGAAACGTGGCTTCCTTCAGCACTATAAGAGAAGTGGCAATGAACATAAAAACAAACCTATTCTGATATAATAATTTTGAAAAATATTACTTTTTAGAAAAATTTCAGAAATACTAAAAACTAAAGACTATCTGTAAAAAATAATAAATGCTGTGTCCATCACCTAGTTTCAGTAATTAAGCTCAAGCATAATTTTGCTTTACTTCTCTTATTTCCCCAGAATTAGTTAGAAGCAAATCCTAGACATCATTTCATTTTCTCTCTCTCTCTCTCTCTCTGTGTATGTGTATCACTTTCTTTCCCTTTTATTCTCCCCTCACTACCACGTTTATATATACATATCACTTTTATTATTACCAATAATAATGGATTAACACGGTAAATCAACTAAATCACTGTGTAGATAGCATATTTCAATATAAAATCTTATCTTCGGCAATCAATTGGATTATCACTTTTCATATGGCTCACTGACTCTTCTCTGATGGCTTATGGAACTTCAATTCTAAATGGCAGTACCTTATTATAAACAGAGATACTTATACATGGAAGCACTTAAAGACATTTCCTAAGTAAATCAGACCACATTTGGATTTGGGTTAGAATGTATATTTACTATGGTTTTATGTTACCTGTCGTGTTCTTTGTCCACAAGATGATATCTGGCTCTGAATGCTACCAGGTGAGCATAATACGCTGGTGCAGGTATAGAAACAGATCGTGTACAGCGTACGTAAGTGTGGCAGAGCTGGTAAGTTAGCAGCTGAAGTTCATCTGCAGTAAAGCAGTTATCATCCCATAAAACATGGTAGTGTGAAGGACGGCTGGTACCCTTTGAAGAAGACAAGGGCATATTTTGTTGATTTCTAACCTTTTAAATAAATCTTCAGCAGAGACTATGTTATATAATAATGATTGGCACATTAATTAGTAAAATGTATTATAATTTAATAATCAACTAAAAATTTTAGTTGATTTTGGATATATACTGAAAAGGAGTGAAAGCAAGGACTCAAATGGATGTTTGTATATCTATGTTCATAGTACATTATGCACAATAACCAAAAAGGGGAAGCTACTCAAGTGTCCATCAGTGGAGGAATGGGTAAATAAAATGTATTACATAGATACAACATAACATTATTTAACTTGAAAAAGGAAGAAAATTCAACACATAATACAACATGGATAGACTTGAAGACATGTTCAATGAAATAAACCAGTCATAAAAACAGAAATATTGTATGATTCATTTATATGTGGTACCTAAATTAGTAAAATTAACAGAGAGAGTAGAATGTATTTGCTGAAAGCTAGGGGGAGGAAAAAATGAGGGATTTAGTGAGTGTAATGTGACAGAGAAAGTGAAAACTTTCTGCAGATAAATGATGATGATGATGGTTATCCAACAATGCGAATATACATAATGCCAGAGAACTGTAGGCTTACAAATGGCCAAAATGGTAAATCTAAGTTTAGGTCCTTTTTTTTTTTTTTTTGTTACTGAGGATTGAACTCATGGGCACTCAACCATTGAGGCACATCCCCAGCACTTTTTCCTATTTTATTTAGAGACAGGGTCTTACTGAGTTGCTTAGTGCCTTGCTAATAAGTTGCTGAGGCTGGCTTTGAACTCATGATCCTCTGGCCTCAGCCTCCCTTGCAGCTGGGATTACAGGTATGTGCCACTGGTGCCTGGCTAAGTTTAGGTACATTTTAACATTCACACACACACAAACCATTTAGTTGAGCTCCTGTGTTCCAGTTACTATGTATTCAAAGAAAAACAAGTCAACAAAGTAAACAATTTCTTTTCTTTTAGAAAACATTACTTATTAGAGTAGGAGATAGAGTATAAACAATTATAAAACAACTAATAAATGGTTATAGTACTACTGGTCATATGTAGTCCTTTATAGGAATACCAAAGAAAGTAAATATAGGGGTAAACATGGGGATGCTTCACTAGGTGGGAATGTGTGAGATTTGACACTCCCCGCCCCCCACCCCCAGCTTTTTTTAAGCAGTTAGGGAGAGGAGACATCGAAGAATAAACAGCCTTAAAAAAAGCTGGGTATGGTGGTACATGTCTATAATCATAGCTACTCAGGAGGCTGAGGCAGTAGGATTTAGAATTCAAGGCCGTCTCAGCAATTTAGTGAGACTCTGTCTCGAAATAAAAAAAAAAAAAAGTGTTGGAGCACCACTGGCTTCAATCTCCAATACTGGAGGGGAAAAAAAGTACAAGGGGCATAACATTTCATGGCATATTTATAGAATAGCTAATAGACTGGTATGAGCAGAGCACAGGGGATAAGGGAAAAAAGATGAAGTTTCAAATTTAGAATCCAGCTGAATGACAAGCTAAGAAATTTGGAATTTCACCAATGAGTGGCAGGGAAAGTACTGCAGTTAGGAGAGTTTTTAGGTATAATGAGATGGGCTTGTTTTTCTTTTTAAAATAACAATAGCAATAATATGGAGGAAAGATTAGAAATAAGAAGAGGCTGAAAGCACAGTGAGCAGACAGAATGCTGTTGTATTAGTTCTGGTGTGAGACGATGAAGGTATAAAATATGGAAATGGTGTTGGCCATGGGGCAAAAGAGAAAAGCTAGACCACATTTCAACAAAAATATGTGAGTACCATTTGTTACACAATATGCAAGATTTTTTGGGGGGATAAAATTTAAAAAATTAACAAATCCTACTTCCTTCAAATGATATGCTTATAATATATATCATATATTCATATATTCAATATTTACTGAACACTGCCACATCCTATAGCAGGTAGTGAGCACACAGTAATGAATGAGACACACATTAAAGTGATGAGAGACATATAATCATAAATTAAACCATCAGAAATTGGTCTATAAAGAGAATAAAATGTAGGCTGGTATGAAAGACTATCTGAAGGAACTTTAGACTAGGTGATCAGGGAATACTGTCTCTGAGGAAACATAAAAGTGAGCTTTGAATGATTAAGGAGGGCTTGTGAGATCGGGAGAAGAGCATTTTAGGTATATGGAAAAGGAAGGGCAAAGCTCTAGCTACAGTACATGGAAGTCATTCAGTTCTCTCCCATCCCCATTCTAGTCCCAAACACCATCATCTTTTGCATGGATTATGGTCACTGACTTCTAACTAATGTTCCCAATACTACTAGTACTTCAGTAAGAGTAATTAAAAAATAACAACAATAATTTACAAAACCTAACTATGCTAATTTTCTGTTTTTAATGCAATTGGAGAATAGAATCCAAATCCTTATGTTGTAGTTGCTTTTTTGTCACTATGACCAAAAGACCTGACAAGAACAACGTAGAGGAGGAAGTTTATTTGGGGCTCACAGTTTCAGAGGTCTCAGATGACCGACTCCATTGCTCTGGGTCCAAAGTGAGGCAGAACACCATGCCAGAAGGGCAGGGTGGAGGAAAGCAGCTCAGAACATGGCCACCAGTAAGCAGAGAGAGCTCTGCTCACCAGGGACAACAGTTATTGCCCAGTTAATTCATCAGTGGATCAATGCACAGATTAGATTAAGGCTCCCATAACCCAGTCATATTGCCTCTAAACTTTCTTGAATTGTCACACATGAGCTTTTGGGGGATACCTCATGTCTAAATCATAACACCTTATTTTTGTCCAACAGAGCCTATACAGTCCAGCCCAGCCTACCTCTGACCTACTCACACGCAACAATAGTATTAGTGTCCTTTTGCTTCCTTCAACAGATAACTGTGTTCCACCAAAAGGGCCTGTATATGTGCCTCTGATGGGAATTCTTCCTCCTGTTCTTGGCTTGGGTAACTCTTATTCATTCCTCATGATTTTACCTTAAATGTCATTCCTAGGGAAACCTTATGTCATTTCTCAAACTAAATCACGTCCCCACTAAAATCTTTCTTCCTATTCTTCACTTTTTCTGTTTTGCATTTATTCCAATTTGTAAATTCATATTTGTGAGATTCACCAATTAATACATCCCCCTAAACTAAAAGAGGAAGGAATTGGGTTTATTTGTTCACTCATTATACCCAGTATCAACACCTATCTCAGGATATATGCAATAAATATCTATTGCTTGAAAAGCCTCTGCCTTTGGGACTTTATAGACTGCAGGGGTGTAGGTGACAAAAACATGGTTACAATGTTATTTAATAAGTCTGACAAAGAGGAAGGCTAGGGTACTGAAACAGTGCAGAGGAGGCACTGTCTGGGAGAAGCAGTCACGAAGGCTTCTGAGAGGAGTTGATGAAATATTTAGATAAGTCTTACAGCACAAGTAGGAATAAGTTAGGGAAGAGCATTGGCAAGACATGGTTATGAGAACTAGCTAGAAGCATTTCAGAATGGCTGCAATTATGTTATGTATGTGTATATGTGTATAAAAGAGAGAAGAAACCAGTTAGTTAGAGGAGAAGAAAAAAGAGAAAGAAGGAAGATAAGAGGAAACAGTGATAGTGACTGAGGGTATAGAAGTGAACAGAGAAGAATACATCAGGAATCGAGTCTTCATGTTGCCCTGAGATGAGATTTCACCTTCAATGCATACAGATCACTGGTATAAGAAGCCTGTTATCTACGATGTAATTAATCTGATGGAGAAGATGAGGGCATTTAGGATCACTTTGAAACTGTACATGAAAGTAATAATAGGAAATGAAACTAAGCAGGGGAGCTAAGGATAAGGGCCTAAATAAAATACAAAAATAGGCCTGGACATGTGGCTCAGTGGTTGAGTGCTCCTGAGTTTAATCTCCAGTATCAAAAAAGAAAAAAAAAAAAAAAAAGAAAGAAAGTAGTTAATATAAAGTCAAACATTAGGCTAAAATACGTATTCTAGAGACAAAAGTTTTATCCCTAGAAGGTATTAATTTTTTGCTTATTGACTGTTACCACTCAGCCTGAAAGTATACAAGATTACATAAAGAGGAGGAGATATAAGAACATGGATAAACTGAGCTTAGTGGCACACATCTGTAATCCCAGTTACTTCGGAAGTTGAGCAGGAGGCTCACTAGTGTAAAGTCTTCCAGGGCTAAGTACATAGCAAGACCCTGTGTCCAAATAAAATTTTAAAAAGGGCTGGGGCTATTCCTCAGTGGTAGAGTGCTTGCCTGGTATGCATGAGGCCCAGGATTTAATTCAAGTACCATAAAAAAAAAAAAAAAAAAAAAAAAGAACACAGGTAAATGAGTAGGACAATAATTTAAAGCCTGGAGTCTGAAATAGGTTAATATATAGGACATATAAGGCTGTGAGACGCAGCTGCACAGTAAGGTACATCTTAAAATTTCTTTCTCCTTTTCTTTTTTTAAAAATCATTCTTACTATCTGAAAGCAAAGCCCCACCTCCCCAACAAACTCTCATTTTAAAACAAATACCTTTATTTATTTATTTATTCATTCATTCTTCTGTGGTGCTGAGGATTGAATCCAGTGCCTCACACATGCTACGCAAAGTGCTCTACCGCTGAGCTACAACTGTAGCCCCACGTCTTGAAATTTCCATTTAATAAATGGGAAGAAACTGAAATAGTTTTGGGCTATGTTTGCTCAAATATCCTGGTAATGTGGGTTTACTCTCTGCTGTTAAGTTTGAGAAGCAGTTAATTAAAGATTATGTTCTACTAAAAAAAGTGAACAAATTAATGAAAAGATTTTCTGAAGAGAAAAAAAGATTTAAAATGATCTACATGAAACTTAAAGTATCTACCATTAAACTTTCTTACATGCTCAATATCTACCAGAGAATTTTTTCTATGAAATATGATCATCAAAAAGAGGCATATGTCATTGGAACAATCAGGTACTTTAAAATTTGTTTTAAGTTTTTAGGTTAAATTAAGAGCCTACTTTAGGGAAGTTCACTCTATCAAAATAATTATCTTCTGGTATTTTCACAAAAGTAAGTCTCAAAGTAAGGGAAAGGAAGAAATTTATTTACTGAAAGTTCCATCTAATTTCATGTGGAAACAAATTCAAATACAGAGTATTTCTTTCTCTTTTTGCTAAGATATAAGAAATAAGAAATACATATAAGAATTGAAGTTTTGAATTAGATCATTTTACCCAAGGTATATGTAGGCTTACCTGTATTCCAGCATGGCTACAGAGGTAAAAATCAAACTCATACGGGTGTGTAATGTCTGTATCAACTGTTGTTCCAGCTGGGATATTGCCACTTCTTCCGACCTAGATTTTTTTGTCAAAGTTCAAACAAACAAGACAAAGGTAAAAAATGTATTTAAAAGCACCTTTAAAAATGGGTATATGTGTACATATGCTGATTTCATGTTTCACTACTTTCAGCTTGAAATATTATTTAAGCAGTCATAGGGCAGACCTTATATGTGGTTCCTAGTTGTTTTTTTCTCCAGGACTGGGGATGGAACCCAGTGCCTTGTGCATGCTAGGTGCACATTCTACCACCAAGCTATATTCCCCTCAGTTTCTATTCTTAAATGTTATTAAAAGTAAGTGCTGATAAACAACAGAGAGTTACATAGTCTATTACTACTTACCTGGGAGTTGATTCCAACAGGGATGGAAGACATTTTAAAAAAAATTTAAGTTAACTTTTAGTGCTCCAATTTATGGTACCTGTACACAGTGGGTACTCTTTTTTAAAAAAAAGTATTTATTTTTTAGTTTTAGTGGACACAATATCGTTATTTTGTTTTTATGTGGTGCTGAAAATCGAACCCAGCGACTCACGCATGCTAGGCGAGCACGCTACCACTTGAGCCACATCTCCAGCCCCCTACAATGGGTACTCTTAAGCACGTAATTTAAGTAAGCATTTTCCTTGGAGAACACTAAATATTTAGAGGAAAACATACTAACAATAACATCAACAATAGTCACCAATTGTTAACCATGTATTTATCAGGTACTTTATTTATTTTATTTATTTAAATTTATTTTTCAGTTTTCGGTGAACACAACATCTTTTATTTTTTTAATTTTTATGTGGTGCTGAGGATCGAACCCAGCGCCCCGCGCATGCCAGGTGAGCACGTTACCGCTTGAGCCACATCTCCAGCCCATTTTTAGGTACTTTAAATACATTATTTCTAAAACCTGATGCAAGTTAAGTGTTTTACCATTTGGAGAAACTAAGGTTCAGGGATATAAAATAATGCCCAAGAGCATATAATAAAGAGCCGAATTGGGATTAAAACATGTAAAAACTGCAAAGGCCCAATTTTCAAAATTTCATACTATCAGTTTTCTTACATACTAAATTTTCTTACAGAAGGGATACCATCATTTTCTCTAAGTGGTTTTGATGTGACTAAAATTTTTCAAAATTCCCGATAATGAAAAGCTCTTAATAAAACACTTTAAATGCATATTATATCCACTTAAATCTCCTTATCTTCAACACATTTAAAATCATGAACTATAAATCTAGGATTACATGGCTAGGAAATCAGAAACTACTCTACTGACTCAGATATTATTTCTGCAATGTGAAGGACTGTTATCAGGTGTTGGTTTGAATTACTGCTGTATGATCAACCAGTTAGTCTTTATCAAGCATAAAAGAAAGAAAACAGTTTTAATCTACTCAGTTATGCCTAATACTGAAAAAAAATTAACTCTAGCTGGCTGGGATAGGACATTTCTATAATCCCAGCTACTTGGGAGGCTGAGGCAGGAGGATGGTTGTTCAAGGCCAGCCTCAGCAACTTAGTGAGACTCTATCTCAACATTTATAAAAAAGGGCTGGTAATGTAGCTCAATGGTAGAACACCCTTGGGTTCAATCCCCAGTACTGGGAAGAAAACAACCATAACAACCCAAACCTAAAAAACAACAAAACCCAAAATTAAATCTAATAAATTAGCTACACATAATATATAAAAAGTGGTATTCTATTTAGAGAGAAAGCAGAATGTCTGGTTTATATCATTGTTCTATCAGTTTCTAGATGATCTAGGGCATGGTATTTTACTTTTCTGTACCTATTTCCTAAACTGTAATTAACTCTCAGCTGTTACTAGTAGTATTATTTAGAGCAAAGAAAAGCAAATAAATGAATGGCATGACGAAACATCAGATATTCATAAACATTCAATTTAATTTAAATTTCTAGGTATAGAAATATACTTAACAAAGGTCTTTAACAATTTGGAGGCCCTAATAAAACTATTACTACTGCTATTAGAGACGTGGTATATAGTACAGTGGTTAAGAGTATTCTGGAGCCAGAACAGTGGTGCATACCTGTAATACCAGCAGCTAAGGCAGGAGGATTATAAGTTCAAAGCCAGCCTCAGCAAAAGTGAGGCGCTAAGCAACTCAGTGAGACCCTGTCTCTAAATAAATACAAAATAGGGTTGGGGATGTGGTTCAGTGGTTGAGTGCCCCTGAGTTCAATCCCTGGTACCCGCCCCCCCACCAAAAAAAAAAAAGAGTACTCTATAACCAGATTGCCTTGATTTAAGTGCGACCTCTACCAATTACTGGCTTTATAACTATGGGAAATTATTTAACTTCTTTCTATGTGTTATAGTTTTCTCTTATACAAGATGAGGGATGATAGTTATTATCTTCTAGTGTTTGTTAGGATTAAATCAGTTAAATTTATAAAAAATATTTAGGCTAGGGATATAGCTCAGTGGCAGGATAGTTGCCTAACATATGCAAGGCCCTGGGTTTGATCCCCAGCACTATAATCAATCAATCAACCAATCAGAATGAATGAAAAAGCTTAAAACAATGACTGTTATAGCTATTATTATTTCTTCTTCTCTCTTACTACCACCATCACTACCACTGTACAGCTAGCTAACACTTCACTGAGTACTCAGTATATGCCAAATGCTGTTCTAAGTGCATTTTATTTAATCTTCTCAACAACCAATAAAAGATAAAAATTAATATTATTCAACCTTTTGGGAAAGAAAATAGGCATAAAAGTGTTGAGCACTTTTCCAAAATACACAATTGTTATACATACACAAGACAAGATACTTCTCTTAGTTTTTTCTATTGAGTTCCTTTTCCAAAGGTACATGATATTTGCCCCCTCAGATTTCTCTTGCTCCAATGTTTGAGGATGGGAGAAGATGGGATGAGGGCAGCAAGACTGCTATTTGCCTACATTGCATATAGATAAGAAGACACATTTCCCTGGGTGTGTACACTTTCCTTTCCTTCTAATTATAAAAATACATATCACACTTTATAAAATACACAAGATTATCCTGTGAACTTTAAAGGAAACATTGTTCAAAAGTTAGTTAATATTAATTTTTACTTCTTAAAAAAGCTAATTTTTACAAGTTATTTTAAAAAGAGGGGGCTTGGGATGTATAGCTCAATGACAGAGCACTTGCAAGTGGCCCTGGTTTGATCCCCAGCACCAAAAGAAAAAGAAAAGAAGATGGTACATGCCTATAATCCCAGATATTCAGGAGGTTGAAGCATGAGAATTTCAAGTTCAATACCAGCATGTGCAATTTAAGCATACCCTGTCTCAAAAATAAAAAGGCTGGGGATGAGTGCTGTGGATGTGGGCAGAATGCTCTACCTAGCATATGCAAGGTCCTAGGTTCAATCCCTAGTACTCCAAAATTAACAGATAAATAAATATACCTATTTTTTCTAAAAGTTTCTTCATAACAACAAAGTAAAATGATATTTCAAACATTTGGAGTTACTAGAAATTCTAGAAAGTTAAGTAATAATTAACCTATTTTGATATTTCTTTATTCAAAATTTAATGGCTGAACCCCACTACTAGCAGAAGGCCCTAAATAAGCGCTTTGTGAACTCTGTTAGATAAGTTTGGCTTATAACAACATTATGACAGATTACCCTTTGTGGGGCTGAGGTTGTAGCTCAGTGCTAGAGCGTTTGCCTAGCATGTGTGAGGTACTGGGTTAGATCCTCAGTACCACATTAAAAAATATAAAATTAAATAAGATTACCCTTTCTGTCCTATCAGCACAAAACAGTCGAGTGTGATGTCTCTTCTGTACTACGATATAGGTTATTCCAGGTTGATAGTCTTTCTCCAAACTGATGCAGGCTTCTCGAATTGCTAGTAGCTCATAATATAACACCTAGAGAAATGTGATGGAAAGAGTCAACTGTTCTTTTTTACATTCTTCAAAGTAAAATAAAGATTTAGATTGAGGATTTCTTAATTTTATCACCTTATAGCTAAGATACTTCCTATTCCATTTTAATTATCCATTTTAATTATTAGCAGAGTAATCAAAGATTACACATCCGTAGTGAACATATTAAAAAGGAAAGTCTACTGAAGAATCAAATTTTGAATTTAGGAACTTTCAGTTGAAAGATTTCAACTTCAGAACCAGATACTATGGTAAGTATAGCATTTGATTACACCATAGTTTGAGGAGATCCCAGACAACCAACCTGTCTAAACTGTCCCTCTGAAACACCATCCCGATAAAAGATGATACGAGTAGGTTTGAACCGAGTTGACTTATAAAATTGAATGAGAAGTTCTCGGACCATGGATGCCAAGTCCTGGATGATCTCCTGCCTGGGTCTCTGAACTCTTACTGTGGCACAGTATCTGCTTGGGTGGGCATCCATACTACCTACAACCTAGGTTGGAAAAAGTAAAGAAAAATAGAAATTAAAATAATGAAAACTATGTGGATTTCATTTACATTTTACTATAACCTTACTATGCATCACTATTTTCTTTAAGAATAATACAAATAGATAATTCTTGGTGAATAAAAGACCTACTACAATGTCAAAACCTGTTTTCCTATAAGTAGGCTGCACTTTGTATTTAACAATTAGATTGTTTATTTATTTATTTTGTAGTACTGGGGATTAAATAAACACAGAGGGTCTGTGCCATTGAGCCACACCACTAGACTTTTATTTTGTAACTGGTTCTTCCTAAATTGCTGAGGTTGGCCTTGAACTTGCAATTCTCCTACCCCAGCCTCCCAAGTTACTAGGAAGACAGGTGTGCACAACTATGCCTGGTCTAACAATTAGATTCTAACTGTTTTTGGTAAAGATTAGCCAAGAAAGAAAAGGACAAAAAGACATGCATAAGAGAGTAAGAAAAAGAAAATAAGTAAAAAGGGGGACCAATTCAAACCACTGACTTCTTTTCGTATCTCTTCTACTTTAACAACCCATTCTAGAAGTCAGACTTTTTTAAAAAAAATATTTTTAGTTGTAGATAGACACAATACCTTTATTTTATTTATTTTTATGTGGTGCTGAGGATCAAACCCAGCACCTTATACAAGCGCCCCACCATTAAGCTACAACCCCAGCCCTAGAAGTCAGACTTAATATTTTAGCATTATCTTAGAACTGTTAGGATCCATAAATTTTAAAATCATGAGTTTCTAAAAAAACTTAACACTAAAAAAACCCCAAATAACTCAATCAATAAATGGGCAAAGGAACTGAATAGGCGCTTCACAGAAGAAGAAATATCAGCCAAGAGATATATGAAAAAATGTTCAACACCTCTAGCAATTAGAGAAATGCAAATTAAAACTACACTGAAATTCCATCTCACTCCAGTCAGAATGGCAATCATCAAGAATACAAGTAACAGCTGAGTGTGTATGTCACTGTGCTCAGGAAGCTGAGACAGAAGGATTGCGAGTTCAAAGCCAGCAACTTAGCGAGACAACTTAGCCCTCAGCAACTTAGCGAGACCCTGTTTCTAAATAAAACACAAAAAGGGCCGGTCAGTGGCTCAGTGGTTAAGTTCCCCTGGGTTCTATCTCTGCTACCAAAAAAAAAAAAAATACAAGTAACAATAAATGTTGGTGAGGATGTGGAGAAAAAGGTATGCTCATACATTGCTGATGGGACTGCAACTGGTGTAACCACTCTGGAAAGCAGTAGGAGAGTCCTCAAAAAACTTGGAATGGAACCACCATTTGACCCAGTTATTCCACTCCTTGGTGTATACCCAAAGGACTTAAAATTAGCATATTATAGTGATGTGGTCACATCAATGTTCACAGCAGCTCAATCACAATAGCTAAGCTATGAAACTAATCTAGATGCCCGTCAATAGATAAATGAATAAAGAAGATGTGGCATATATACACAGTGAAATATTAATCAGTCATAAATAAGAATGAAGTTATGGCATTTGCCAGTATATAAGAATATATCATGCTAAGTGAAATAAGCCAATCCCAAAAAACCAAAGGCTGGATATTCTCTCTGATATGCAGATACTAACACACAATAAGGGGTGGGTAGGAGGGAAGAATAGAAGTTAACTGGATAAGACAAAAGGGAATGAAGGGAAAGGAGAGGGTATGGGAAAGCAAAGACAGTAGAATTCAATCAAACATAAATTTCCTACGTTCATATATGAATACAAGACCAGTGTAACTCCACATCATGTACAATCGTGAGATTGGGAAGTTACACTCCATGTATGTATAATATGTCAAAATACACTCTACTATCATGTATATCTAAAAAGAACAAATTAGAAAAAATGAGGAGTTCTTTTACTGCAAACTCCTAGATCTGACATCCTGAATCTGTAGTCAGTCTTCTTGGGCTGCAATTGTGTTGTGTATTAGGTCTTCAGAGATGTTAATCTTGGTTTTCAAACTGGCTATCTCAATTGTCCCCTTCTATGTCCTGTTTCATATTGTTACGTGTTTGAAGCAAAGGAGACATCAAAGTATGAACTTAAAACGTTATTCAGATCATAGCCTCAAGCTAGTTACTGGGCCTCCCTATTCTTTCTTCCAGGATAGTCTATATCAAATTCATGCTTCAAAAATAAAACTTAAACCATTTCATTCCCTTCATCCTTATCCCTGTAATACATCTTTCATCTAACAAAGACAATACTGAAATATATAAACAAACTCTTTGAACCATAGAAGTAACTGAAAATGCACAATCACAGAGAGATCACACAGACAAATTAAAACAGGATAATTTTTCTTGAGTGGGTACCAGGGATTGAATCCAAGGGCACTTAACCACTGAGCCACATCCTTAGCCCTTTTTATTTTTTGAGATAGTGTCTTGTTGAGTTACTTAGGGCCTCTCTAAGGTAATGAGGTTGGTTTGGAACTAATAATCCTCCTGCCTCAGGCTCCCAAACCACTGAGATTATAGGTGTGTGCCACCATACTGGGCTGAGTAACATAATTAACAAACTTGACTTAATATATATATAGAACTTGTAGTTTTCAAACCAGAATAATCATTCTTTTCAAAAACTCAAGGAAGTGGGCTGGGGATATAGCTCAGCTGGTAGAGAACTTGCCTCCCATGCAAAAGGCCCTGGGTTCAATCCTCAGTACCACCAACAAAACAAAACAAAACAAAAACAAAACAAACAAACAAAAACTCCATGCCCAAAAAGTCAAGGAGGGGCTGGGGTTGTGGCTCAGTGGTAGAGCACTTGCCTAGCATGTATTAGGCACTGGGTTCAATTCTCAGAATTGCATATAAATAAAAGAATAAAGTAAAGGTCCATCAACATCTAAAAAAATTAAAAAAAAAAACCTGAAGGAACATTTATGAAAGTTAGCTACAAAGAAAATATCATTAAAACTCAAAAAGCTGAAACTAAAATGTTGATATTGGTCTAAACTTTAGATAAAAGAAACCTGCCTAAGTAGTATCATAGGTTTAAAGCCATCCTCAGCAAATTAATGAGGCTGTAAGCAACCTAGTGAGACCTTGACTCAAAATAAAAAATAAAAATGGTTGGGGATGTTGCTCAGTGGTTAAGCATCCTTAGATTCAATCCTGGACCAAAGAGAGGGGGGGGGGGGGGGAGGGGGGGGTGGGGGGGGGGGGTGGGGGGGGGGGGGGGGGGGGGGGGGGGGGGGGGGGAGGGAAAGACCTGCCTAATGATACTCACAGCAGCAATAGAAGGTTTTTTCCCATCACCAGCAGGTGGATGAGTGACATCTGCTCCCAAAAAGATCACTGGTTGCTGGAACACAGAAGGTCTTAAACACATTTTTTAAAGGGGTTAGATAATTCATCATCCATTTATCTGTTTCACATGATTGCAACATAACTGCAAGCCACTGTCAGCACAGAGGAAGTCCTGAATAGACAGCTTCATAGGCCTCGACTACCAAGTGCTTTATCCTCTTAATTCAAGAATCCCTAGTCAATAAAGTAGAAACTGTCACAACAGAGCTGCCTAGCATTTTTGTGAGAACAATTTTTGTCTTAAGCAGTAAGTGCTGGTGGTTGCAAAGGGCAATTGATGCTAATGTTCTCTGTAATCAGAGTAATTATAAATATTAATCCACCAATTTTTCTCAAATTTAAAAAATCTGCTTATACATCAAGGAGAAAAAGAATCATTAGACTTTATATGGGAAAGATTATGGGAGTTGACTACTCCCCATCCTCTGGCCAAATGTATAAATTTGAGTAACATATAATAGTCACAAAGTAGTGAGCCTTTCCTTTTATTTTAAAATTATATCCTTTAAAATTCAAAAGACTGTTTTTTAGTTATTAAACTTGTTGAAAAAACTCAACACATCCCTCTTATTTATGAATCTCGTTTCATGTTTAATAGGGATAAGGTGGTAGAGGGTGGCAGGGAAAAAAGGAGCTTTTTTTATTTTCCAAATACACATGGACCAAACTTGTTCTAATGCTTACGTATGTATATAAGTCAAGACAGTTAACCTCATGAAATCAGGATGAAGATGATTATTAAATAAAGGAAAAGCTCTTTTTAAGCTAGGCTCTCCAGTGAGAAATAAAGTTCTCAATATTTTCTGACAAGGCAAGAGGTAGTTTGCATACTAAATGAAAATAGGGGCCAGAGTGGGCTAATTCAAACTATTTTAATTTTTTTGCCAAAATGTCTACATATCCCATGGCAGAAATCATCAAGGTTATCTCTAAGTCAGAGCTTACAGTAATTATATATGGCCATATACAGAAAAATGAAGACAGGAAAAATAATGAGAATTTTTATAAGTGATTAGCTTACCTTTGATGAGGTACAAGAATATTATTTATCCCGCCGAGTTTAACATTAATCTTTAGGCACAAATTTGAGAGAGTTTGAGGAGATGTTTTTATTACATTCTTCACTTGAACACACTGTGTAGCCATACCCAAAAGTGTATCTCCTACACGTTTCACCTCCGCTATGGAATAAATAAAATACCTCAAGTTAGAACAAGGACTTAAATCCACTTACTGAAAAATAAAGTTATTATGCATTCCCCCTGCAATACATCCTTGTACTACAGGATACTCCAAATTACACCAAAACTAAAACAATGCTAATAAAACATGAAGTACACTATCTTGAAGATTAGGTTAAGTATTTAGTGGTAATTTTTCTGATTGTTTTCTTCTTTGTGTAAAAAAAAGTATGTTTTTAGATTGGGAAAAAAAACCCATATCTCTTCCAAATACAAAAGATTGTTGAGGTGGATACAATTAAGATGCAGAGGAGCTCCCTGCCTTCCCTCTCTGATAGCAAGTCAGAGATTTACAAATACCATTGGTTTATCCTCCCTCACTTTTCTTGCCTAAAGACAGGATGTAAATTTTTATTTACAACCCTTGGAATCTCAAAAGATAGTGCCTGAGGAATATGTGAGGGGAGTTTACTCCACTTGTGTTTTCCATATACGTCTTTCCCCACAGTTTCCCACTTCTGGAAGCCTGGGACTGCTTTCCTTTTTAATTTATTTATTTTTGTCAGTTCTCTAAAATTAATGTTCTTTGTTAGATATTCTATTTAAGCCAAACTCCATAAACACTACCGTGAACTAATTTTATCCCATGTGATACGCACTATATATTTTTATAAATTTGCATGGTTTTCTCCGTTAATCTTCCTTTTGTTAGAGTAGTCTGTTTCAACTATGAACTTCTTAAGAGGTTGAGGAAAATAATTTTCCTCCCTTCATCATAAAAATAGTATTACTACAATAACTAAAAAAAAAACTATAAAACAAAAAACACATAATCCTTTATCTTTTATTGTACTCTTTTCCAGTAATTTTCTCATTTATACTAATGTACTTATAGTCAAAGTATGTTTATGTCTATCAATTTTAATCTCCAGCCTTTAGTTTGAAAGTGCTGAGGCATTACAGTGTAAATAATAAAAGATTCCTGTTCTTTGCCTCTTCCATAAAGGAAATCTAAGTCTAAATCTTTACCCTAAGGATTTCAGTTTACATAACTTTTTTTTTTCCTCCTCAATATTAGGGAATTGAACCCAGAGCCTCAAACATGCTAGGTAAGTGCTTTACCACTGAGTTACATCCCCAGCCTTTTAAAATTTTTGAGTTAGAATCTTGCTAAACTGCCCAGGATGTCCTTGAATTTGGGATCCTCCTGACTCAGCCTTCTGAGTAACCATGTGCAGGTGGAGCACACAGAGAGATCTGAGTTGTGGGAACATGAGGTCAAATGAATAAGTCTATAACATAGGCCTACTGTGCTGACCCCCACAACTTTCACTTTTAAAAAGCAATTTACCTGTAGCCCTTCCTGGCGTAAGTCCACAGAATATGTTACATTCCTCAGCAAAATACCTATTATCTGCAGGAGAAAAGCATGCTGGAAATGTGGATAAGAAGAACACAAGTTACTCTGAAGGGGGGTTATTTCTGTGACCCTTACACGGACCAGATCCTAAACATCAGGGAGCTAAAGATAATTTTCCCTAACCATAAAATCTATAAGAACAGGTTCCAATTAGAGGTGGTCAGCAAGAGCCAAAGTGACTTAGAGTTTCATGGCAGTGGGGATCTGAAAGTGTGATGTCATCCTGCTGTCAAAATCAAGAGGTAGGGCTGGGGTTGTGGCTCAGTGGTAGAGCACTTGCCTAGCATGTGTGAGACACTGGGTTCGATTCTGAGCACCACATATCAATAAATAAAATAAAATCCATCAACAACTTAAAAAAAAAAAAAAAAAGTCAAGAGGTGGACCTGGGAGGGACTCTCTGAAACTGCCCTGAAACCTCCAATAAAACTGAAGGCAGGGAGATGTGTTGTCGCTCTCTTCTCTGAGAGGACCCACTTTCTCCGTTAAGAAGTTCCCCATTTCTCCTTTCCTATCCTTTCTAATAAACTCATGTTGTCACTCTCAGTGATGTGTCTAAAATCTTCCTGACTTGATCACAAGAATCAGGGTTTGAACAGGGGTCCACTGCATTACCTATTTCCTGGAAGGCTCTAGCCCTGTAATAGTATCACCACACCCAGTACCGTAATGTGGAAAACATTTTAAAAACTGAGAACATACTACACATTGTCTTACAATCTGTCATTTTCACTTAAGAATATGGTTTTCAATCTCCATATATAGATTGCTCTTATTATTAATATAGTAGCAGTTATTCTGTTTTCCAATGCCACAATGGATCTAATCAGACTTATACTAATATATTAGGTTGTTCCAGATTTTCACTATTTCAAACAAAATATGTAACTTCTTCATCTTTACTTTATTATAAATTTCTTGAGGAGCTAGGTGCGGTGCAGTGGCTCAGGCCTGTAACCCCAGCAGCTCTGGAGACTAAGGCAGGAGGATCGCAATTCAAAGCTAGCCTCAGAAACTTAGCAAGGCCCTTAGCAACTCAGCAAGACCCTGTCTCTAAATACAATATAAAAAAAGGCTGAGGATGTGGCTCAGTGGTTAAGCACCCCTGGGTTCAGTCCTCAGTACAAATAAATAAACAAACAAATAAATAATTTTCTTCAGGATAAATTTCTATTATCTTTCTACACACATATATGTGTAAGTGTTTGTTATTTTTATAAAACATTTTTATAATAGGAGCAAATTACCTTCCAAACAGTATTATTCATCCAACAAATTTTTAATGAGCACCTAATACTGGTACTGTACAAAGATCTGTATATGAATCAATGCAGACATTGTTCCTGCCCCCAAAGAATTCATAGTCTAGTTATATAAACACGCTTTTAATTAAATAACTGCTCAAATTTAACAATACATTGTGAAAATAATATTAAGGAGAGGTACAAGGTGCTGACGATAAAAGAGAAAGAATTTGATTTGTGAAGGTCAGGCAAATTCTCCCCTCAGAAGAAACTTCTAAACTGAAATTTGAAGGAAGAATGTGGGGTTGGGGTGTTGTTTAGTGGTAGAGTGCTTGACTAGCATGCATGAGGCACTGGCTTCAATCCCCAGCACCACATAGAAAAAAAAAACTAAACAAAATAAAGGTATTGTGTTCATTTACAACAACAAAACAGGAAGAATGTACATTCATTTTCTTGGTAAAGGTTGGAAAGTGAGGTATGAAAAATAACACAGTAGAAAGAAGACGATATACAGAGTCCCTGTGAGGGTCTGAAAATAAAAGGAAAATTACAATGAAAGCAACATTAAAAAAGCATCTCAAAATGGATTGGGAGACCACATAGAAAATAGGACTTACAAACAATTCCAGCTGCTGCTTAGAGTATGAATTTTGGTCACCTCCACTTTTTTTTTTTTTTAATTTTTTTTTAGTTGTACATGGGTTCAATGCCTTTATTTGTTTTTATGTGGGCTAGGATTGAACCCAGTGCCTCACACTTGACAGGCAAGTGCTCTATCACTGAGTTACAACTCCAGCCCTCATCTCTACCTTTTGATTGAATGACAGAAATACCTAAACAATCAGACTAATTACACTGTACTCAGAGGCATGAGATGCATACCAAGTGGTTGTTATCCAACTTTTGTTTTATGGACATTTCCATTCTGTTTATACTTTCTTTTCTTTATCTTTTATTGATCAGGAATCAATCAAGATGTCTTTCAATAGGTGAGTGGATAAACAGTGGTACATCCATATAAAGACTTTTTTTAAAAAATATTTTTTTAGATGTTTAGACCTTTATTTTATTCATTTACTTATATGTGGTGCTGAGAATCGAACCCAGTGCCTCACACATGCTAGGCAAGCACTCTACCACTGAGCCACAGCCTCAGCCCTAAAGACTTTTTTTTTTTAAATTATTTTTTTAGTTGTTGGTGGACTTTTTATTTTATTCATTTCTTTATTTGCAGTGCTAAGAATCAAACCCACTGCCTCACACATAGGAGGCAAGCATTCTACCACTAAGCCACAACCCCAGCCCCCATAAAGAAGTATTAATTCAACAAAAGAATGAGCTATCAAGTCCTAAGAGATGGAGGAAACCTAAATGCATACTGCTAAGTGAAAGAAACAAATCTGAAAAGGCTCCATACTTCAACTGCATCATATTATAGAAAAAATAAAATTGTAGAGATACAAAAAGATCAGCAGCTTCAGGAATTCAGGGCAGAGGCAGGATGAACAGGATTTTTAGCACAGTGACTCTATTCTGTATGATACTGTGATTATAATGCATTTGTCAGAACCCAAAGAATTATACAATACAAAAAGTGAATCATAATGTAAAACTGTTGGTTTATTTAATGTTCCCTTTAAGGGAAGAAGTTAATAATATCTGTGTAGGAAAAACTGCAGGGAACAGGGTGGTATATAGGAATTCTCTATATTATCTGCTCAGGAAGAGACTACATGGAATGTAAGCAAGTGTTGGAAGCTGTGTATAAATTATGGATATTATTTGAGCCATTAAGGCAGGGAAGCTGCTTTTCTAGGAAAGAAAGCCCAGATCACGCTGGTACCCTGCTTTAGCTCACAACCCTAGGATCAAACATAGCCACTGAGAGATGGGTGTAACCTTTCAAGCACCAAACAACCTGTTTACTTCAAGATCCCTGCCACCTTTGATCTATTTCCCCTTAAATAAAGGATTGGGGTCTTTTTCAGTTGTTCAGTTCCAGTTCCTATCAGGGCTGGAAGACCCATCAGATATTGCCCTTTTAAATCTAATTTCTGACTTTGTGTTTTGTTCCTTACTGAATATTTCAGACTTTTTATCTTCTCAGGAGGCTCACACCACCAAGCAGGAATCTATTCTACCAAGCAGGAATCTGTTCTCTTCCTCTAAGACAGGTTCTTGGTATGTTGATCAGTCTGGTCTTGAATTCATGAGTTCAAGTGATCCTCTTGCCTCAACCTCCCAAGCAGCTGGGCCTACAGGTGTTGTCACTATGTCCTGCTTAGCTTGTAAACCACCCCCACAGGCAAGAAGACAAATTAGGAGCTATGGAAATACTTTGCTTCCCAGTCATAGTGTATGAGAAACCCTGTATGGTGACACACACCTGTAATCCCAGTGACTTGGGAGGCGGAGGCAGAAGGACTGCAAGTTTGAGGTCAGTCTGGGCAATTTATCAAGACCAGTCTCAAAATTAAAAATAAAAAGGACTGGGAATGTAGCTTAGTGGCAAAGTGCCCCTGGGTTCAATCCTCAGTACTGAGAGAAAAAAACTGTATGAGAACATATACTATTCTTCCTTTTTTCCTTCCTTGCTTCCTTATTCCCTCCCTCCCTTTCTATCTTCCTCTAAGACAGGTTCTTAGTATGTTGATCAGTCTGGTCTTGAATTCATGAGTTCAAGTGATCCTCTTGCCTCAACCTCCCAAGCAGCTGGGCCTATAGGTGTGTGTCACCATGTCCTGCTTAGCTACAAAATTATTTTCTCAGGTCTCTTCTTGAACAATTTAGTTTACTGATTTAAAAGTAACATGCACGACTTACTGTACCATAAAATATGTTTTAGTATTTGAAAGCTACAGGATACATAAGCCTAAAATGAATATCAATTACCTGAAGAAAAATGCAGATTTTTTTCTTTTATGGTACTTTGGGTCAAATCCAGGATCTTATGCATGCCAGGCAACACTCTACCACCTGAAAATGCAGTTTTAATATATCCTTACCATACACTGGTGTCTTTCCTGGCAGGATGACAATAATGAGCTGTAACCCAGAGTATGTATTCTTGAGGTGCCGGAACATGGGCTCTACGCTGTCTGCGCCCTGTGCGTATTTGCAGAAGCATGGCTGGCCCTGGATGGGCATCCCTGCATCCTTGGAAATCTTACGCAGTTGGTCTGTGAAACCCCTGGAAGAAGAAACCATTAAATATAAAACTTGTCTAGTCATTAATACCTACGAAATAGTAATGAAAAGTATAGAAAATGAATGGAGGATGAAGTGAAGATTTGTGTGTTCCATATACACATAATCATCGGATTACTGATGTTAAGGGCAACATCAGGTCAATAATGTATAGAAATCTTCCTCTATTCTCAGGGAATATGTTCCAAGGCCTCCAGTGAATATATGAATCTATGGATAGTACAGACCTTATAATTTAATGCCTTTTTATCTTAACTAAGCACTTATGCACTGAGGCTGTAATTTCTGCAGTTTTTTTCTTTCTTAACATTTACGAAAAAAAATTTTTACTGCATATGATTTTTTTCTCTCCTTATTGATAAATTTCACTTTTTCACTTAAAGGGATCACTTAGTTTTTTTTTTTTTTTGTACTGGGGATAGAACCCAGGGGCACTTTACTTCTGAGCTACATCAATACCACATTTTATTTTTTACTTTGAGATAGGGTCTTGCTAAATTGCTGAGGCTGGCCTCAAACTTTTGATCCTCCTGCCTTAGCCTCCTGAGTTGCTGAAATTATAGGCATGTGCCACTACACCTGGCTATAGCTTTTCTTTGGCATATCCAAATTGCTGGCATCAGTATTCTTACACTTTGGGGGCATTATTATGAAAAACAAGGTTATTTGGTGGGCACAGTGGCACATGCCTCTAATCACAGCCACTCAGGAGGCTAAGGCAGGGGGAATCACAAGTTGGAGGCCAGTTTTGGTAACTTAGTGAGATCCTGTCGCAAAATAAAAATAAACAGAGCTGGGGACGTAGCTCATTGGTAGAGTCCTTGAATCCAATCCCTAATGAGTTCAAGATAATACATGATTTTAAATACTATAGCATAAAATATGGTTACCTAAACACAAGAACTACAGTACCAGAGCAGTCAATCTGATAACCTAGATGGCTATAAGTAACTAACCATGTACAGCAGGGTTCATTGGACAAAGGGATGTTTCATATCCCAGGTGAGGTATGACAGAAAGGTGCAGAACAGTGCAAGATTTTATTATACTACTCAGAAAAAAAGTATATCTTTAAAACTTATGTGCTGAACTACTAATTTCTGAAATTTTCTATCTAATATATTTGGACTACATTTGATGGTAGGAAACTGAAACCATAGAAAGTGAAACAATGCGTAAATGGGGACTCTTGTATTTTATAAACTAAAAGCATACTATACCATTATATGGTATTTAGTAGTTTACAAGGGGCATTAGGAACAGAGTGTACTGGTTAAGAGCTCAGCTCTAGAGTCAGCATGGAGAATTTCAATTGTAGTTCTGCTACTTACTAGTTATGAAATTTCAGACACATTTACCCCTTTATTTGTAAAACAATTACTTACATTATAGGATTGGCAAGAAGACTAATTGAGATAATACATGTAAAATACTTAGCACATTACCCAAGACCATTGGTAAAAGTTTGAAAATTTCAGCTAATACATGTTTTCTAATGTGCTCTTGACAAGATCCATTGAGAGAGGCAGGTCAGGTATTATTTTTATTTCATAGATTAGAAAACAGTTTCAGGGAAATAAGTGTTTGGCAAAGGTTAAATGTTAGCTAAATAGTAGAACCATAATTACAATATAGTCCAGAACTTCCACAGTATGACCTATCAGACCAAGAGAGCAGGAAAGATTTTTGCCCTGAGAGGAGATGAAAAACATGAGAAGGAAATTTAAAAACAAACAAAGAAGGCATTTTAATGTATTTTCACCTACATAAAAAAGGACAATATCTTATTTATTTATTTATTTTAAAGGAAAATCCTGATTCCTTGAGAAGATACCTTGGTCTTTCTTTCTTTTTTTTTTTTTAAAGAGAGAGAGAGAGAACTTTTAATTTTTTTTTTTTAAAGAGAGAGAGAGAGAGAGAGAGAGAGAGAGAATTTTAATATTTTATTTTTTAGTTATCGGCGGACACAACATCTTTGTTTGTATGTGGTGCTGAGGATCGAACCCGGACTGCACGCATGCCAGGCAAGCGTGCTACCGCTTGAGCCACATCCCCAGCCCCGACAATATCATATTTAAAGAAAATTCTGTATTTAACATAAATGAGTAATGATGGGAGGAGCAATGAACCTCATTTGTTTTGTTAGTTAGTTTTTGGTAACAGGGAATGAACCCAGGGGCACTTAACAAATGAACCACATCCCCAGCACATTTTATTATTATTTTCCAAATTTTGAGACAGGGTGTCACTGAGTTGCTCAGGGCCTCACTAAGTTGCTGAGGCTGGATTTGAACTTGCAATCCTCCAGAGACAGATTAAATAAATTATTCATGGTAATAAAGTGGCAAAGCTGGGAACTGAACCTATTCTATCTGCCATTAAAAGACAATGATGCTGTTACTATACCATATAATCTAGTCTTTTAGGATGTCCACAAGCATGAATCAAAGACTTTACTAACACATTTAGGAATCTTCATCAAAGTATCAAGAAGAAACATTTAAAAAAGTTCAGTGATATGTGTGAAGCCTTGGGTTCAATCTCCACTACCACCAAAGAAGAATGAAAAAAAGTCCATGTTGAAGGAACATTTGTTAGAACAAGACACGAGTAATTTAAAATCTAAATACAAATAGGCCCTGAAACCAAAGTAATGACATTCCTTACTTTAAAATTTCTTCTCTGCACTGCCTCTGTGTGGCAAAACAAGCTATAGCCCACATTTTGATTTCAACTCCTGTGTGGAACTGTTTTCCTCGCATATCCCATACTCCGTGGCTTGGTGTTGCCACTGTCCGATTCTATAGGAGAAAGAGAAATAACTTGGCAAAAAAGAACAAAAACTTTATGGTGTATTCTGATGAGTCAAAAATAAGTATTTCAAATTGCTGAATTAATATAAATCTGATATTTTATAAGAAACTGGCTATTTTAAATCAATATTGTTTATAATTTTAATATTAAAAAACCCCCCAAATTCCACTAAATTCAAGCAAGGACATTTACTTTGAAATTTAAAAAAATATATTGTTGGAATAACGAAAAACTTTCTAAAATTCCAGACTTAGCTATGATACCCTTCTCTCCATTCTTACAAAGTACCTATATTTCATTAAAAAACCAAGAGGCTTTACCCGTCCTCCATACTGGAGCATAGGTGCTGGAAGTACACGTCCGGTTACATGGGCCATTTCATCTCGAACTTTAAATTGAAACTCCTGAACAAATGGATCTGTTTCATAATTTGCACTTCTTACCTAACAACAGGAAAAGTTTGTAGTTACTCTCAAAATTCCCCTAGATCCTGTATTTTACTCATTAAAGCCCTTTTTTTTTCTTCTTTTTCTTTCTCTTTGTCATCTATGTTTTGCAATAGGTCTCGTCAATGGTGCCCTAACTGGAGAATGGAGAATCTTAGCTTGGGGATTATGGTCATGAATGGATTGTAGGAAGTCTGTGAAGTCCTTGGTAATTCATACAAAATTTAAATGTATATATTAGATTGAATAATAAGATTTTAACTATTATTGATCCATGAAATTAAAAAAAATATTTATTCTTAAGTTTTAGGTAGACACAATATCTTTATTTTACATTTATGTGGTGCTGAGGATCGAACCCAGTGCCTCGTGCATGCTAGGTGAGCACTCCACCACTGAGCCACAACCCTAGCCCCTGATCCATAAAAATTTTTAATGATTGAACCTAATATGTTTTGAGAGGGAGAAATACTTCACCTTTAGTTAAGATCCTCTGATTACAGAGAACCCAGACACATATTACTAAAATTTATTCCCTATAAAGTTTGATAGAAATATTTAAAATTTTAAGACTTTTAAAAACTACTTTATGATTTATATAAGTTTACTTCAGAATTTTCAGATAAACAGTACTATATCATAAAGTTTATTTAATGGAGTACATTGGAGACAGGTAAGAAAGCCAGAATGAGTTATAGGTTATAAATTTTTCACAATATATCTTTATATACAAAGAGAGAATTCAGTATTAGATTTCACCATAATTCATGCTTACAGCATACTATATTAGGTGTTTTTCAAAACATATCCACTTGTTCTCAGAGTGAAGGTCAAAGTTACAAAAAAAAGATGGTGTTCAACTTCAAGTAGAAATCTATTAAAGAACTATATAATCTAAACATGTGAACAGAATTTCCATATAATAAGAAGGAAAAGCAGGCTGGGGTTGTGGCTCAGCAGTAGAGCGCTCACCTAGCACATGCAAGGCGCTGGGTTCAATCCTCCGCACCACATAAAAATAAAATAACTAGGGCTGGGGATGTGGCTGGGGATGTAGTAGAGTGCACACCTAGCATGCATGAGGCACTGGGTTCAATCCACAGCACCACATAAAAATAAAAAATAAAGATATTGTGTCCACCTAAAAACTAAAAAAAATAATAATAAAATAACTAAAATAAAGGTATAAAAATATTTTAAAAAAGAAGGAAAAGTAATTTTCTAAAATAGTCAATAATGTATCTTTTTCTTCAAACCTAACTGCCATTTATCTCTGTTGTGTGTTGGTTTATCTCCACAGTGAGGTCATAAAAAATAACAACTACTATTTACCAAGACTTACTATAACTTGTTTATAGCTAAGTTCTTTTTTTTTTTTTTAGAGGGAGAGAATTTTTTAATATTTATTTTTTAGTTTTCGGTGGACACAACATCTTTGTTTGTATGTGGTGCTGAGGATCGAACCCGGGTCATATGCGTGCCAGGCGAGCGCACTACCGCTTGAGCCACATCCCCAGCCCGATAGCTAAGTTCTTAATAATTAATTTTCACAATTATCTTATGGCTTTAAAGTAGGTCTTTTATAATCTGTATTTTACAGAGGATTAAAACTATAGCTTAGTAAAGTTAAATAAGTGAGTAAAGTTAAATGACTAGATGATAAAATCATAATATAATAGTAAGTAAAATAAAAATTTAAGTAAGTGGAAAAAGCAAAACTTCAAACACATGGCTGTTAGGCTCCAAAGTTTTCTCTCTCTCTCTCTCTCTTTTTTTCTTTTTGGATACTGGGGATTAATCTCAGAGGTATTCGGCACTGAGCCACATCCCCAGCTCTATTTGTATTTTATTTAGAGACAGAGTCTCACTGAGTTGCTTAGCGCCTCACTTTTGCTGAGGCTGGCTTTGGACTTGTGATCCTCCTGCCTCAGCCTCCCAAGGTGCTGGGATTACAGGCATGTGCCACCGTGCCTAGCCAAAGTCTTCTGTTAAGCACTACACAATATTGTCTTTCTGAACAGTTAAGCTATAATAAATAATTTAGAATTGCTAGTTATTGAGACTTTATAGAAATGTCTCTTAGTTTTAAGAAAGCTTTTAAAATATTATTATAGAATTAGAGAAAATTCTAGGATGAGAACCAGCATGCATTTTCCTAATTAAATGTCACATAATAACTTTTATGCACTCTTTACAAAATTATAAGGAAAAAAATGGTCTTTTTTTAAATTGGCTTCCAAAATAAAACAGCCAGTTCTGAATCACTTTTCTAATAATCTTTAACATTGTTTTTGAAAATGTTACTGAGTTGTTCTGAGGAATATTCGTATTTCCAGATTTTTTTCTTTGCCTAAACAGTTTAAATGGTACTTAAGGGTAGAGTGAGTTAAGGTCCAGCTGGCCTTTTATTTTAAATTTTGCCTATTCTATTAGCTTTATTTATTTTTTTAAAAAATAGACAGGGCCAGGGATGTAGCTTAGTGGTAAAGTACTTGCCTAGCATGTGTGAGGCCCTGTGTTCAATCCCAAGGCCTAACAACTGGACACACACACACAGATAAACTGGGCATTGTCATGCATACCTATAATTTCAGCTACTTAGGAGACTTGAGCAGGAGGACTTTTAAGTTTGAAGCAAGCCTGGGCAACTTAGTGAATAAAATAAAAAAGCCTGGAAGAGGGCTGAGGATGTAGTTCAGTGGCAGAGCTTGTGCCTAGCATGTGGAAGATCCTGGGTTCAACCCCAGCTATCCCCTCCTGCAAATAAGGACAGATAATAGGGCATTTTTTAATATACCTTTATTTTATTTATTTATTTTTATGTGGTGCTGAGTGAGTGTTGAACACAGTGACTCACATGTGCTAAGGCGAGCACTCTACCTTCAGACCTGTTCCCAACAAGAACAACCCCAGCCCCTAACAGGTCATGTTTTTATTGTGTATAAAATGATAGCTTGATACACACAAACACATACACACATACATTGTGGTACCATCAGTTTTATCAAATGGTAGTGGTAACTCCTCTCTCCTCCTCCACAATGAGACATGTGGAGATACCACATGCTTGAAGCTTTTATTAGACTGTATAGTTGCCAGTCTGATACTGGAAGTGAAACAATCCTAGAATGAGTGTTAAGTATTTCTTTCCCCCACTCTTTTAGGTGGTTTCCAGTTCATTAAATTAAAATATTAGTTTTGGCAGAACTTGTTTCCTGCATCTAGTTAAAGAGTCTAGGATTAAATAAGAAGGACCTACTAAAGTTTACCACCACCCAAAACATACTCCTAGGTTATTTCATGATACCTTTTAATTCTGATGGCAATAAGATATGGGCTGGTAAGAGTATGCTTTTTTAGAAGCTAATCCTAACATGTTTTAAATTCCCATTTTCTAGGGTTAAGAACTAACCAATCTGCTAATTTCCTCTTGTCTATCTGGTGCAGATCTTGCTGTTGCCTTGATCATAGTTGAAGTCTGATTGTCTGTTAGTTTCTTAATACATCGTTGTCCTGCCACAATATTACAGACCTACAAATAGAAAAAAGTATTATATTAGATAGATGTATAAATATCTTTTTGTTAGTTCTCAGTGCCAATTACATGTAAAATAAAAATTTTAAATCTTCATAATTAAATTGCTTATTTTTAATATCATGTTAAATAAAAAAGTAGCAAACAAAACTACTTTACAATATTATTATAATTTGGTAAAATGTACACAGGATAAAAAGATTGAAAGAAGTATTGGTTAGACTAGAGTGGTAGAATTATAGTTCCCTTTTCCATTTAATAAAAACCTAAAATAAAATTTAAGAAGAGTTTAAGTTCCAAAATAGATAGCAGAGTATGAGGTAAGTTACAGGACATAAAAGACCCCAAAAGAATGATGAAGAGGAAGATATTCATGAGCAGCAAAGAGACATTACTTCCAGCGGCAGGTAGGTATGTTTCTGCTCCTGCCCCACTTGCAGACAGGGAAGGTGTGGGTACTTCAACTGAAGAGTGTACTTTTCTCTGAAATACTGAGCTACTGTTCTCTCCACAGTTTGGCCATTTTCTAGCTGTAAGGGAAAGCTGGTGGGGAGGGGAGGGAAAAAAAGGAGATATGAGACTCTTATCCCACTACAAGCCAGCAAAACTTCCAACCTACTACCTAGAGTGAGCTGCCTCGTATCACCACTGCTTTTCTTACGTTTGATGACTGGCAGGCCTTCTTGTTACATTACAAACACGGTATTTCCGTCTCATTGTTCCACAATGAGTCACTTCAACCTTCAGACCTGTTCCCAACAAGAAAAATGCAGGTTACAGAATTGTCACTGTAAAATATTTACATTTATAAAGCCTGTTCACTACTATAAAAACTTAATTCTGAGCAAACAAAATCTGTGATATATATACAATGTGATATTAACATAATTTTATATATAACATTGCTAATAATGGATACTACCATGGTAGACCTAATTTCAAACCTTTTCTCTACCCTATCAAGCTCCACTCATAATAAATAGAATCATAAAAATTTCAAAGCCCAAAGATCAAGGGACAAAGTTCTCCATTAATAAAAGCCCCATTTATAATAAATTCGGATAATTATGCTAGGAAAGAGAAGGAGGAATGAAAGAGGAGGTGCAGTAATTCTCAAGATAGTTTATAACCTTCAAAGTATGTGATATTTAAATTGCCCAATCTTAACATACTGATTGAAGATCAGATTTCCTAAAGCTCAAGAAAGAAGCCCTTTAAAGATGTATAAAGCAAGAAAGAAAAAATGCCAGGCCCTTTAAAAAGAAATGTAATGATCATTTTATTGAAGTATAATGTAGTGACACAGTACTTTTACCATATTTGACTAGTAGCAATCAAATGCAACAAAAATAATTCTGAAACCAGGTGATTCCTACCTTCTTATAGAATCAATGACCCCTTAGAGTATCTGACGAAAGCAATAAACTTTCAGAAAAATGTACATACACAAAATTTAGCAATGATTTTAGGCATTCCTGGATCCCTGCAGTCTACCTACAACTGGGTGGGGGTTGGGGGGTATTCAAGGATCCAAGGCCAACTCTAGAAAGTAAAGAAATGGGCTTTAAACTCATCAACTGAAAGTCTTTGCGGTGAATTTAAAAAAAAAATTTTTTTAGTTGTAGATGAACACAATATCTTTATTTTATTTATTTATTTTTATGTAGTGCTGAGGATTGAATCCAGTGCCTCACGCATGCTAGGCAAGAGCTCTACCACTGAGCTACAACCGCAGCCCCAAATTTTATTTTTTACGTATCTTAATATTTCTTCCTGCATCTATCAAAACTCATACTGAACAACGAGTTCTGAGTCTCAAAAGAAGATTTATTTTTTGCATCTGTCTATAAGTCTTTGTTTCTTTGAGATGAATGTTCTTAACTAGTGCTGTCAATTAGAATTTTCTGAGATGATGCAATATTTTACATCTGTGCTTAATATGGTAATCATTAGTAACGTGTTACTAACCACATAAAATGTGGCTTGTGTTGCCTGAAAAACTGCAATTTTAATTTTATTTAATTATAATTAATTTAAATTTAAATAGATATACCTCACTAGTGGCTACCATATTGGCCAGTCAAGTTCTGGAGCCATCAAGAGGAAAGTTAACAAACAAGACATGTAGTGGCCATTGGTTACAGATAAGCAACTCCATTTCTAAAGTTTGGCTTAGATTCCAGGGACAAAATCTAAAAAGGGGTAGATGGAGGACAATTTTTAGATTCCAGACAGAATTCTTGGTTATTCCTTTTTGTATTATTTCTCTTTTATATTTGTAGTTCCTATAGTGCAGTGGTTCTTAACTGAAGGCAATTTTGCCCCCCATCCCCAAAGAACATTTGGCAATGTCTGGAGACTTTTTTGGGGGGGCAGGGTGCGATGGGGACCAAAAGATGCAACTTGGCAAGCATTCTACTACTGAGTCACATCCATTCCCTAAGGAGACGTAAAAAAAATTTAGGGGGGATATTTTGGGATTTAACCCAGGGGTACTTACCACTGAGCTACATCCCAGCCCTTCTTATCTTTTATTTTGAGCCAGGGTCTCACTAACGTTTTTAGGTCCTTTGCCAAGTTGCTGAGTCTGGCTTTGATCCTCCTGCCTCAGCCTCCTGATTACAGGTATATGCTACCATGCCCAGCTAAAGGAGACATTTTTGACTAGTATAAACTGGAAGTGCTATTGGCAACTAGTGAGTAGTTTGATATTTGGGATACTCCTAAATATCTTACAATGTACAGAACACCACCTCCCATCCCAAAAAAGAATTATCCAGCCCACAATGTCAATAGTGACAAGTTTGAGAAACCCTGCTACAATATAATTTATTTTCTTACTAACTATAGCACCAAATATAAAGTTCACTCATATTAAGTAATATTTTCTTCTGACAGGAACACAAATTAATATGTTAAATGGACACAGTGTTCCTGTACCAGATTGGTATGGATTTTTCTTGAAAAGCACTCCTAAATGTATCTGTGAGAAGTACTTTTTCATTATAGCTACCTTTACAAAACTAAAAGTTCTGATCAGTTACAGAATTTCCTAGGCATTATGTTATAAAGGAGACTACAAAATACAAGGGAAAGCCTTATGAGAAGGAAATATCAATACAACAAACTAAGCAAGATATAACAATATATTTAGGGGAAAAACACCAGAAAAGTTTAAAACAAATTTCAGTTATTTTCACTGCATAGCAATTTGTTTTTGTCTTTCCCCTGAATTAAAAAAAATATTAATAATATTCTACATACCTACCATAAAAGCTTTTACCAAAAGTAAAATGGTACTTTCAAATACATATGGCAGTTTTACCATACATTTTTCTCAATATTTCTACTGTTTACTATGAATTATTGGGCAAAAACCAAACAAACAAACAAACAAAAAAAACCCCTAAGTTATTATCAAACATTTGGGGAGAAATTCAACAGGAATAAAATGAATATGCTAAAAATATTCATTATAGTACAGTTTGTATCAATATTTAACAGCTACCATCAAATCCTCATGCCAACTAAAAATTAAATCCAAATAGCAGAGAACATAAAACTCTTGACTCTTGACTTAGTAGGGTAACAATACGTCATATACTTAAAAGAGCCTTATTAAAAAAAAAAGCCTTCTTCATTTTGGAGAAAAAAAAATCATTGGTTTGTCAATCAGATTCAGCCCAGACTGTTTTTACCCCAGATCTAGGATCATAGGTACCTAAGAATTAGAACAAAATCCAGAGGGCTAGCAAAAAAGGTGCAATTTAAAAAAATGGACTAGATAATTCTCTGCCCAGGCCCCCCCCAAACCCTCCATCCAACAAAAAAAATTCTTTTGGCTTTAATAAATATTTAACCTATAAACTTGGCTTTACCTTCACTATAACATCAACTTTATAATGCTTTCTAGTCATTTTTTCAGTCATTTCTTTGGGCCCCTGAGCAGTTGAAGTTAAGATCGAGTCCATGCTCTCCGGGCAGCAGTTGAATCCTTGTTCTGTACAGATCTTGTATTTTCTGTGATAGAGTGGTGATATGAGTTGATTGCATAGTTACCGCAAAATAATGTAAGTGACTTCATGATATCAGAGGTGGTAACTAAGCAGCAACTCCACTGGAAACCATGGCATTTAGATGATCACATATATAATGGCAGGTAATGCACTAACCTCCTGACAAGGCTAACTGCAGTTAATACAGATTATGAAAGGACAATGGTATGGTTACAAAACAGTTATATTTAACAGTTTCTTATTTCAGCACTTAAATAATTTGAGAAAAATGGATGCTTATTTTCAAAGCAGGAAGAATTTTCCTTTTAATGTTTTATTGCAATGACTATCTTCTTCCTGGTTACTGAATGGCAAAGAATGAATGATTACTGGAGCAAGCAGGATGTATTCAGCTACTCTAATTGATTTGGGGAACTGAAAGATGTTCAGTGAATAAACTTGAATGCTTCATTCAAACCACAAGCTGAAAATTATCTGCAACAAATAGGTACAATCTTAAAAACAATATCATTATTTCTGGCTATTTAAGATGCACATTTAATATAAATAGAATTTATGCTACTCATTCTGATTATAAAATAATTTTTCTTCATGTCTAAATAATAAACTAAATACAGTGGAGTCATATCTTACATAAGGATTTGGTTCTAAAGTTATGAGCAAGGCAAGAATTGTACATAATCAAAATTATTCTTAAAAACCCCTTAAATTTCTGATAAAGTACAGCATATATGGGTTTGAACACAAAATGTATACACATATCTAAACGTATTTAGAACGGTACACATATGAAGAGCAAATATATAACTTTAATGATAATCTAAGATTTATATATAAATCTTAGATTATCATTAAAGTTATATATTTTTTTTCTTCTTGTGAGATCAAATAGAGATAAATTTATGTAAGTTAAATGTATATACAATATAACGCCACTGTATAAATTTTAGCTACTCAGTAAAATAGGCAAGCAACAGTTAGCTCTGTAATGTACATTAAATAGCTAAGTTACAACTGTAGAACAACACATGAAATAGGCTAGCCCCTTATTCATAAATTTTCAAAGGAATGAAATTAAAATTATTAAAAAAATAAGGAAGTCAATATATTAGAATATGTTCAAATAATGATTTTAGCAATATTATAGAAGCACTTTCTCATGAGACAGTATTATCCCTTTCAGATAGTAAGGCTAAGTATTAACAAATTAGCTGGTATCTATACTAGTTGCATTACTTGGAATATTTTTCATTCAAACACTACCTAAGATAAACTTAATTCAACATTGTATAATTTATGTATATTTTTACTGCTGTTACGTAAATAGATTTTAATTATAAAAAAACATTTCAATAAAGGCTGGCATAACCATACATTTTATAGTCAAGTTGTTCTAAATGCTAGTGAATTCACCTTTTATCTCTTTGGTGAATTTTACCCGGTGAGAATCAGTCAGAGGTCTTGGTTGTTCATCAATATTGTGAATATCAAGAACTTCACACATGAACTGAATTACAGGTTGTGCTTTGTAGAAGGCAGTGGCAGAAACTAAGGGGAAAAAAAAAACACAAATAGTACAAATTAATGTTTCCCTAAAAAATTCAGAAACTTTACCTTAAGCTCTAGGCTAATTAACTATCTGCAGAGTTAAAAATGATCACTTTTGCACATATATTTGTGTGTATATGAATGTGTATATAAATATGTAGATATACGGTTATTACATGCTATAAAGGCACTAGAGATATGATGAAACATATGAGCTACATATTATCACGTTATTTCCTATTCAAAAAACATGATGTTAGCTGGGCATAGTGGTTCACGTCTGTAATCCCACTGTCTCAGGAGGCTAAGGCAGGAGGAGGATCCATAGTGAGTTCAAAGCCAGTCTCAGCAAAAGTGAGGTGCTAAGCAACTCAGTGAGAACCTGTCTCTAAATAAAATACAAAACAGGGCTGTGGATGTGGCTCAGTGGCCAAGTGCCCCTGAGTTCAATACCTAGTACAAAACAAACAAACAAACAAACAAACAAACATGCTGTTGGTTGAACTAAGTGTAAACTTTATATATACATACACATAATAGTTTATAACTGATCATTATTTTTACTGATGTTACATAAATTTTAATTATAAAAACATTTCAATAAAAGGTTGATATATCCATGTATTTTATAGTTAAGTTGTTCTAAATGCTAATAAATTCACCTTTTATCTCTTTGGTGAATTTTACCAGATATAAAGCTTCCTGAATCTGAACAAAGTCATTTATGTAAATTCAATTTCACTTAATAGGAAGTCCTGGCTAGCATAGTAAAGCAAGTTAATAGAAATAAAAGGTAAACTATTTTACATATAAAAATTTCTGCAAATAAGAAGCTTCAGTTTGACCTCTATGGCACGAGAACAAAAAGGCCATATACTATAGCTTTTATAAACTATTATTTCATCATAGATCACTGAATCATTCCATTCTTTAATTCATGTACAGAGAAGTGTGTAAGGCATGAGACAAAGTCTATATTGAGGCAAAATCTGTATTGAACAAAGGTCTTTATGTTCTTTGGCATAAACAAGGTAGTTTATTCTTTCTTTTTTTCTGGTAGTACTGAGTGAATCCAGGGGTGCTCTGCCACTGAGTTATTACCTTTAGTCCTTTTAATTTTGAAACAGTCTCGCTAAGTTGCCCAGGCTGGTCTTAAATTTGTGATATTATTACTGCCTCAACCTCCTGAGTTACAATTGATTACAAGTGTGTGCTACCATACCATGCTTTCTTTCTTTCTTTTCTTTGTTATGTGGTGCTGAGAATCAAACCCAGTGCTTTCCATATGCTAGGCAAGCACTCTATCATTCAGTCACCACCTCAGCTCTATCATGGTATTTCTTAGACAAAAAATTTCTATGCCATCCTACACTGTTTATTCTAGTGAATTTCCCATTTTATAATGATTAAAGAAGACAGTGGCCTTAAATTCAAGCTATAGACACAAAGGGGTATCTGCCTGATATTATTACAACATTCAACCAACATGATTTCTTAACCTTGGGTTTTGAAACTAGAACAGCTTCACCAATGGTTAGACCACCATCACTCATTTCTTAAATACTGATGATTTTTATGATGCTATAAAGGCACTAGGAATACAATGAAAAGTAAAACTGAAAGAGACAATAAGCTACATGCTACCATGATATATATTACTCAAAAAACATGCTCATAGGGCTGGGGTTGTGGCTCAGCAGTAGAGTGCTTGCCTAGCACATGTGAGACAGTGGTCTGATTCTCAGCACCACATAAAAATAAATAAATAAAGATATTATGTCCATCTACAACTAAAAAAACAGTCATTTATATAAATTATACTTAAAAGGATGGACTTAAAAGGATGGACTGAAATCAGTGAATACACTTTAAAATATATGTATGTATTTTTTAAAAATAAAGGTTTTATGTCCAACTATAACACACACACACACACACACACATTAAAAAAAAACATGCCCATGCTGGGTGTGGCAGTGCATGTCTGTAATCCCAGCTATTCATGAGACCGAGGCAGGAGGATTGCAATTTTGAGGCCAGTTTTAGCACCTTAGTGGGATCCTGTCTCCAAAAACAAAAACAAAATAAAACAAAACAAATACAAACATGCTCAAAAGAGCTGGGGATGTAGCTCCATGGCAGAGCGCTTGCCTAGCATGCACAAGGCCCTGGATTCAATCCCCAGTACTGTAAAAAACAAACAAACAAACAAACAAATATGCCCAGGGCTGCAGTGTGGCCCAGTGGTATAGCGTTTACCTAGCATGTGTGAGGCATTGGGTTCAATCCACATAAAAATAAATAAAATAAAGGTATTGTATTCATCTATAACCAAAAAATAAAAAATAAAATAACATGCCCATGGTTTGTTGAGATAAGTGAGTACTTTTTATGTAGTGCTCTTTTCTTCCTCTCCCTAGTTTAAGATTAAATGTCTTCTATAAAATGTCCCTTACCTTTGGAAGCATATTTATAAAACAGTAATTTTCTCAGGCTATTTGTAGGTTGGTGAGGTTGTGGTTATTTTTTTATTTTATCAAGAAATTTTTATCTTTAAATATTATTTTTTTATAGTATGCACATATTATTTTTCCTTTTCTTTTTCTTCTTTTTTTGGTACTGGGTATTGAACTCAGGAATACTTGACCACTGAGCCACATTTCTCAGTCCTATTTTGTACTCTATTTAGAGACAGGGTCACACTGAGTTGCTTAATAACTTGCTTTTGTTGAGGGTGGCTTTGAACTTGCAATCCTCCTGCCTCAGCCTCCAGAGCCACTGGGATTACAGGTGTGTGCCACCACACCTGGCTATTTTTCCTTTCCTTACCACAGAAATATATGGTTTCATCATAAAAACTTTAATCAATATAGAGATGTACATAGTTAAGACTCTCCCCAGACTGAACCTTCTTCCTGTAAGAATCTAATTTATTAGATATGTATACATTTTCTCCTTTTGATATACACTTATAAAGATAAAAATGTAAATACAATTTTTAGGTGATATCAGATGATAAATTCTCTAAGCTCATTATTTCATTAAAAAGTTAACAATAATATGTCTTAGAGACCTTTTTATGTCAGTATTTTGTTGTTGTTTTTTTGGTACTGAGGATTGAACTTAGGGACACTCTACCACCGAGCTACATCCTCAGCCTTTTTGGGTCTCATTAAGTTGCAGAAGCTGGCCTCAAACTTATGATCCTACTGCCTCAGCCTGCAGAGTATCTGAGCCAGGCACGGTGGCTCACACCTGTAATCCCAGCAATTTGGGAGACAGAGGCAGGAGGATTATAAATTTCAGGTAAGACTCAGCAATTGCTCTTTATAAAAGGATGGACTGAAATTAGTGAATACACTTTTGAATTAGGAGTGAATTTCAATAAACAAAGGTCTGTTTCTGTTCTGCTTGGTTGAATTTTAACATTTAATAAAGCTACATATATATGCATTATATTCCTTCTTTTGCTTCCCCACATTAGTTAATTTTTACTGAAAATTAAAAATCTGTTTAGATTTTTAAAAATGTATTCATTATACCATATTAACATATTAAAGAAAATGTTGATGATAATGTTCCTAAGAAAGCATTTGATAAAATCCAGCACTGGAGCAAATATTCTTACTATACTAAGACCAGAAGGGAACTTCCCTTAATCTGATCAAACTTATCTACCAAAACTTTATGGTAAACTCAACTTCATTTAATAGAAAATCTTGGATAGCACAGTAAAGCAAATTAAGAGAAATAAAAGGTACAAAGGTTTTGGAAAGGGAAAAACAAAACCATTATACTTCATAATATGACTGCCTATATAGAAAAACACAAGTCTACAGATAAATTACAGAATTACCGATAGTTCAGAAATGTTGCTCTATTTATGATTAACATACAAAGTTAAATTATATTTATATACCTTAGCAACTAATTTAACATGCAGTTTTAAAAAGATACTACTTATAATCATAACAAAAAATTTTAAAAGGTGTTTTTGGAATAAAGTCTAAAGCAAAAGATGTGTAAGACCTGTAGAAGGTATCTTATTTTTGGAAGATTTTATAGATGATCTAAATAAATAGAGTAATATAGCTTATTCATGTAAATTATCTCCAAATTGATGGGCAAATTCATAGGAATTTAATTCTAATAGGACTGAACATATGCAATAGGATGCAACCCCTTCTGCCCACCATTCATCAAGATTTGTTATAATTCTTCCAATCAAGAAATTGTGAGGATACACACAGAGACTAGCAGAAGAGACTTAAAAGCCTACCACATACTATATGCAAAACCAAACATACATTGAAAGAACTAAATATGAAGAGGAAAACAAATATTTGTTGAAAATGTAGCTTTATGATCTTGCCAGGTGCAGTGGCGCATGCCTATAATCCAGCTCGGGAGGCTGAGACAGGAGGATCAGGAGTTCAAAGCCAACCTCAGCAATGGCAAGGTGCTAAGCAACTCAGTGAGACCCTGTCTCTAAATAAAATACAAAATAGGGCTGGGGATGTGGCTCAGTGGTTAAGTGTCCCTGGGTTCAATCCCTGGTACAAAAAAACAAAAACAACAACAACAAAAATAAACAAAACAAAACAAAAAAACCCAAAAAACAACAACAAAAAAACTTTATGATCTTGGAAGTAAAGAATAATTTCTTAAACAAGATTAAGAAACAAGCTAGGCATGTTGACGTGTCTATTTAATCCCAGCAATTTAGAAGGCTGAAGCAGAAGGATTTTTAAGTTCAAGGCCCGTCTGGTCAATTTAGTGAGATACTGACCTAAAATAAATAAAAGGGCTGGGGATGTAGCTCAGTGGTATATAGGATCCCTTGGTTCATTCCCCAGTACCAAAACAATACAAGACAAACAAACAAATAAAACCCCAAAATGACAAACCATGAAAACTGTAAGAAAATAGACACCAATAAACAAAACTTAGAAAAACAAAGAGATTAGTAGAGAATATGTATAACAAATTATTACAATCTA